TTCAAGTTTAAAAATCCCTCAGCCTGGGCGCAGAGGGAAGAGAAACAAAGGGGATAAGGCAGTAGAGGAAGGTTTTCAACTCTATTCCAGTTGGGCTTCAAGGTAAATATGGCAAAGCTCTACCTTCTGATGGCTCCCACGAGCCAGTATGACAGTGGTGCCTGATGAGAGAGTCCTAAGACGAGGCTCCTCCTGCCTGTCCTCTGCAAGCAGGGAAGCAGAGCTAGCGTCCGGGCAGTTTCTAAGGGGAGCCTGAGCCCACCAGGCTAATAAACGGCCAGAGGGAGCGCAGCGTGGCCAAAGGGAAAATGAACCGGCACAGCTGAGAGAGCCAGCGGCCAAACACGCGGGCTCCAGGTGGAAGGACCCAAGGTGAGCGGCGTGGCGGGACCGCGTTTATTCACCCAGACGTGTAACTGGCAGAGAGGCTGACCTGCTAGTTCCATTTACTAAAGCAGAAATTTGGCGATTCATGAACTCGTCCAATATTTATTTAGTGCTGACCGGTGTCCTGGGGATGAGAAGGTGAGCAAACTAGTCCTGACCTTTGCCCTCAATCATTCAGATCCACCCTCCACTATCGCCATTTGTAACACAATAGCCAGGGGTCGGTAAGGGGAAGCAAGAGGCTCCGGCAGCTCATCCTAAATGGGGAAATCAGCCTTGTAGCCTCCTAAGACGATTGACTGGAAAGTCAGCTCCAAGTGTGAATCTCTGAGCAGATGCCTTTAAGAGCATCACAAGCTAATTCACAGTTACTTTAGGAAACTTTTGAAGAAAACCCGTCTCATTTCCTCTTGGAAAAACAGGGTTGCACACATTTACCTGGGGGGTTGGGGCACTTGCTTTTGCTTCAGCAAAGTCTAACAGCTTCTCTTGCTGCTGAGGAGGGGAGACCCAGCCAGAAAGCGGATGAATCTTTTATCTCCTCTCTTTGAAAGACTACAGCAGTTTCTTGCCACTTCACAGTAGTGTGTGGGCCAGGGTGTTGCCTTAAAATCACAGAGGGTAGCTTCCTTCAGAAAAGGAGAGGCCGGGGAAGAGCCACAGTGGTCGCGACAGGAAGAAATGGCTGCCCCTGGGGCTCCTGGTCTTACCTTCGAGGTGTGGGTGATGGAACCAGTCCTGCCCAGCACGTGAGAGCTGGCTTATTCCCACTGGAGCTGCATCCCTGGTGCCTCAGGTCACAGGGGGACTTTCTACGAAGAGCTACCCTGGAAGGGTTTTGTGCAGACAGCTGGAGCAGAGACGTAGCCCCACTTCCTCTGTCTTTAGCGCCATCTTTGGCTGCTCAGCTGGTGCCTCTTCCCCTAAAGAGCATCCTGTCTCCTGCGGGGGATCCCTCCCGCCAGCAGGAGACGCTGCGGTGCCCACCTGCAGGGCTCTTCCTTGCTTGACCGCTGCATCCGCTCCTTGGAGGGGGATGAGAATTGGATTTAAAGAAGTTTGACCCAAAGGTGCCGCCTGATTGGGCTGGAAGTAATACTGGGGTGTGGTTAGTTGGTTGGGCAGTCAACCTCCTGATAATTAGTTACTACCTTAGTTAGTTACTACCTGTAGCTTCTGAGCTTTACATATAGCTCACCAATGCCGGCCTCTGTTGGATTCCACAGCTGTTGGCTGCTGCCAGCTAACTGAGAAAGGCTCAGGAAAGACTGGACTCCCCTGTTGAAGACCCATAGATGGTAGGGTCTCATTACTAAGGGTGTGGTCTTGGACCAGCAGCACCTGTGCCTCTTGGGAACTTGTTAGCAATTTAGAATCTCAGGGCCCATCCCAGGCCTATTGAATTGTAATTTGCACTTTAAGGGTATGCCCAGGTGTTTCATATGACCAGTTAACTTAGAGAACCCCTGCAGGAGGGGATGCCCTAGCATCTCGGACCAGGAATGGTTCTCTTTCAGTGCAAGCATTTTAGCTGTATCCCTCTCTACTGTACCTTGTTTTTTGCTCCACAAGGTCACAAGTGTCACTCAGCACACTGATTGGAACTAGGATAGGACTTATAATTTCACAATGCCTGCTTTACCACAAAGCCCTTTGGTTAGTGTAAGGTTTGTCACATGTAATAGGCTTGGATTTTTAAGACAATCACTAAGAGGTCTGGATGTTTATTCCCAAGTGCTTTTCCTCCCTCTAGGGGAGTGTTTTCATGGGGGCTTGGCTGTGGTCAAGGACTGCAGTTGCAAGGTTGCCTAATTCCTTGCCTGTCGACTGATGAGATATGTCTCCTACATGTATTTACTATTGCTCAACAGACATAGATGCCACTTGAAATAATAAAATACAAATCCAGTTTTTACAGCTTTGTTGAGGTATAATTGGTTTACAAAGAACCGCACCTATTTAGTGTGTACGGTTTGATGAGTTTGGACATATGCAAAACAACCATGATGCCATCACTACAATCAAGGCAATGGAGAGATCCAGTACCTCCCAGGGTTTCCTTATGACCTTTTGGTTTTGTTCGTTTTGGTTTTGGTTTGGTAAGAACACTTACTATGAGATCTACTCTCTTACCAAATTGTGACATGCACAAGATTTTATTGTAAACTATAGGCATGATGTGCATGGCAGATCTCTAGACAGAATATATTCATCCAGCATAACTGAAACTTTGTACACACTGAATAACAACTCTCCACTTCCCAGACTTCCAAGCCCCTGGAAACCACTGCTGTAGTCTCTTCTATGATTTTGACTATTTTAGATACCCTATACAAGTAGAATCAAACAGTATTTTTCCTTCTGAGACGGGCTTATTTCACTTAACATAATGTCCTTCTGGTTCATCCATGTTGTCACAAATGGCATGACTTCCTTCTTTTCTAAGGCTGAATAATATTCCATTGAATGTAATACCACTTTTTTTTTTTTTTTTTTTTTGCAAATTCATTTTTAAAAGCTATTTGCACTATCTTTTCTTAGTCAATTCTACTTGCTGGTGTGCTGAGGTTCATGAAACTGGGCCACATTGTTTGGGGACCATTGCTCTAGTGGTCTGAAGCCCCAAGCTCCCTGGAGTGTCTTAATCAAAAGAAAGACATCAGTACCTATTTCCTTTCAGCTGTGAGTTTTCAAAAAATTTAAGTTTTTTTTAAGAGTTAAATATAAACATTGACCTATTGTTCTACCGAAAAATAGGGTCTTTGGGGGAACTGTTCGTACCTGGATTATGGTTATATATTTGTGTAACATGATTTAGTGGGGTACAGGGTCTTTGGCAGGAAGGGTAACAAATCTGACGCCATGTTGGATCTGTTTCTTTCACTTTAATCTCTGTATTCTATTGCTTTTGCTACAAGGTCATCACTAAAGGGATGTTGCCTTTAGCTTAAAGTATACACAATGGCCCATCTCCAGGAACCCCGCCTCCCATGCCTGAGCTTAACTAAAATACCTTTGTTCAGCTTCCAGGAAACATACTGACCTGGCCCACCTGCCGGTGACTGAAGGAAAGAAGAAATTAACACTTCCCCTCCAGTGCATGGCCGAAACCAGGAAATAGCTGCAACAACTTAAGGCCTTTTTAACTTTACCTCCCCACCTCCCCACTTTGCTCTATAAAAGAAACTAGCATCCAAACCCAGGCGAGACGGTTCTTTGGGACACTAGTCCACCATCTTGGTCTGCTGGCTTTTGAAATAAAGTCGCTGTTCCTTGCCCCCACAACTTGTCTCTCAGTTTATTGGCCTGTCATGTGGCGAGCAGCACAAGCTTGGGCTCAGTAACATGGTAACACCACCTTCAGTCTTGTAAGTTTCCAATTTAGATTTGCTCAAGTCCTCAATTACAAGCCCTCCAACAATAGATGTCTTCCATTTAGATCTACATATTTTTGCATTGCAACTTTTTCAGTTACAACAGGTCTTAGAGACCAAGAATTTAGACAAACTAGACTTGGAATTGGACTTTCAAATTGCTGTATTACAAAAACAAAAAACCTACTAAATTACATTAATGTGACAAAGATAATGTGTTCGGCTGACAAGAGTTTGTCTTGATCTTGTTCTTTTAATTTTCTTCCCCTGTGTATATTTTATATGTTCATCTGTAGGTATAATATTACATGCCTATAATTTCCAAATATATATTCATATATTAGGAATGCTTGCATGCTCAAAAACATTTATCCAAAGGGTACAGAATCAAAACTGTTTGGAGATCAGTGAACTGGATTAATGATCTCTTGCTGTCTTTTGTCAACAGATGGATCAGAAAAGTCCTTTTATCGCCGTTCTTTAAAGCCAGAATCATGCTGCCACATTCTCTAGGCCTGAGTCGCCCTCGTTAACATTCATGTTTGAGCTTGTTCATTTAACACCAGACTTGGAAAGAACTGACGGGAAGTGTGGGTTTCAAAACCATTGTAACAATTCTAACTCAGCTCTTTCTTGCCTCTGGGCTGGGCTCCAAAGCTAGAAGAGCCCGAAATTCACAGATGCAACTGAGACTCTTTCCCATGTTTCTCAGGAAGCAAACAGGGTAAGCTGGACATGGCAACACCCTTTTCTAGGCAAAGAGCAAAACCCAAAGAGAGGCCTTGGCCCCCAGCACAATTATAACACGGGGATTCAGTGATGTATGGGTGTCAGAGGGTTCTAGAGCTGGAAGCTACCTTGGGCACCCATCATGGTGTAAGTGAAGACAGAAGGCAAAGGTCAGAATGATTCACCCAAGATTACACAGGTCGTTAAGAGGCACATCCAGGACCATGACCAAGCCTCTGGATTCCATCTGGGCTCTCGGACTCTAATATCCCCTCAGGGTTGATGTGGGATGGGGGGATGCCAGGAGGAACATGGAGAATTGTTGCCCTCTGATGAGACACGGCCAGATAATGTCTGGCATTCGGAGATCTCAGTCAGTGTTTTAACAGCCATCTCCCAGGCACGTGGCTCAGCACACCTGTGTGGGGTCCATCGTGAGAGGACCGTGGGGGGCTCCCACTGGGAAAGGTCCCTCTGCACAGCCCTGCCCCTGGAGAGGAGAAAGCTTACCTGCTGCTTCTTCAACACTGGATGATGGACTCACAGCTCCAGCTCTTCTGACCATGCCTCCACCTCCAACACACACGGAGCGGCGGAGGAGAAATGAGAGTGGGGGGGGGGGATGGAACTTTGAGGAGGGCAGAGGTCTGCGGTGTGTCACTCACGGCTGTATCCTCAGTGCTAGGACGTGCCTGGCACACAGGAGGCACTCGGGAAATTTTTGTTGAGTGAAAAAGGCCTCACCCGAGAGGGTGGGACAGGACAAGTGAGAGGACTGAGTTTTCAGCCCTGACCATGCTGGGCTTGTGGGTGGCCACAGAGGTGAGAGCTGGGAGTCCAGCCTGGAGACTAGGTCAGGAAGGACCCAAGAGACATCCCAGTCAGCCTCCTTCTCTTACACTTTGACCTGGTCGTGTTATACTGCCTGCCAGCCCAGGAGACCCCTCAGGCCCAACTGTGCCCCTTACACAACTCACGTCCTCCCTCTAAGTCTCAGTTCTCTCGTGTACGAGGCAGAGATCAGGACCATTCCCACTCCCCTCACAGGCTATTGTGAGGACTGAATGGTAATTCACTGTCAAGTGCTTCAGTCACCGTGAACCCCTCTGCACATGCGCGTTGGCGTTAGAGAGAAGGGACCACTGGTGGATTTTGCCCCAGAGCACGTTCCTGCTTATCTTCAGGTGAAGCGGAGCCACTTGAACTGGTCCAGAGGAAGAGCCCTTTCCAGCAAGTCTCTGTGCCCAGGTTTAACCTCAGTCATGAGGACCAGCCGCTGTGGGCATGGCTTCATTTCCCACCTCCACATGAAGCATCAGAACTCCTGAGCTCTTTAAGAAGGACCACGTTGACACCGACTGGTAGATGGGGTGCACCTGTGGATTTGAGGCATTTGGCCAAAGCTTACTTGTTTTCTCTGAAGAGTTAAAAACGTCTCCTCAGGACACAGGAAATGCTGTGTCTTGAGGCTTGCAGCTTTCCCAGGGCAGTTTGCTAATGCTTTGGTATTTTGTGCTACATTCTTACAGCAAATAAGAGATTTTAAAGACACGCATGTCATTTTGAGAACATCTTGGTTCTTTCCAGCATCCAGGGGCTCTCTCCCCACACTGCCTCTCCCTCAGCATGTGGACTTGGGTCATGAATCACAGTCTAGCCTCACCCTCTCTCTCCGGTCAGCAAGGGTGGCTGAGTGGTCCCGAGTGTGCTGACAGAGGGACAATGCTGTGGGGTGCCCCCTGCGGTCCCCACGTCCCGGTAGTCACGGCCACGGGTAGTCCTCACTTCTAATGAATAGAATACGGCAGGAGCAGTGGGGCACCATTTCCAAGATTAGGTTACAAACAGATTGTGGTTTCCATGCTGGGTACTTCCGTGTTGTCTCCCTGCCTGTCTCTCCCTCTAGCACCACTCACATTGTCAGCAGTCCTAGAAGAGGCCCACCTGTATGGCCAGGAATAAAGCCTTCAGTCCATGAGCGCACCTTTTCCCCAGCGATCCTGGTGCAGTTGGCCTGGACATCAGCATTTCTGAAATGTTCCCCAGGTGATTCGAATGTGCAGGCAGGCGTGGCAGAAGCTGCTTAGGGTCCCTGTCCAGGGATCCGCGGCAGTGGCACCGCCTGGGAGCTTGTTAGAAACACAGCAGCTCTGGCCTCACCACGGACCTGCTGACTCAGAATCTGCATTTTAGCAAGATCCCCGGGAGAAGGAGTGAGAAGCCCTGGGATGCAGCTATTGGAGCAGTGGCAGCCTGGGGACTGTTTGCCGGGAGCACAGCTGAGGGAGCAGGGCTCCCCTTTAGGGCAGTCTGATTTACCTGAGCCAGAAGTGATGCGAAGTCCTCCCCAGTCACGGTGCCCTTGAGACATTCCTTCTCTGTAGGGATTACCATCCAGATACGAGACAATTTGTTTAAAAGACTCACCCCGGAGTAAGCTTTCTCTCCTCCCCCAGGGGTGCCCTGTGACAAGCACCTTGTGCTAGGTGGGTACAAAAGCCAGCTGCTTTCCACGTTCTTGCTGGGGAACCGCTGGCCCTCGTTAGAGGGGTCGGTCAGGACGCTCTTCTGCATGATTACAGCCAGGTTGGCTGGTGGCGCAGCATCCCGTGTGTTTTTCTCCACGAGCTGATGTAAAACAGCCTGACTCAGCAAGGCCCACAGAAATGAATCCTGATGCCCTCAAGACAAATATCGTGCTGAAGCTAAAACAATGTTATAGGGAGGGGGAAGAAGTGGCCTGAGATGCAGGAAAGAGAAAAAGGGTTCATAAGTTGACCAAGAACTGCGTTTTTCTGGCCCACTGAGTCTTTCTGGACAGCGTCCGTGCTTGCTGGTGGAAACATATTAGGAAGATGAGCTCATGATAAACACAGTTCCTCCCGGGAGAGGCTGGAAGAGAACCAGAGATCTGAGACACTGTCTTGAAAATAAATCAGAGGTTTTGAAGGCGATCTGGAGAAGAGTAGATGACAAGGAAGCCTGCGTGTCAGGGATGAAACTCCGTGTGTATGAACAGAACTTTCCAGAGATATTAATCAGAGAAAGAGAAGAGACTAATCTAAAACAAAACACAAAACAAAAACCTGGCAGTGTTAGGACTACTGTCTGCATCTCTGATTCCAGATCAAATCCAGCTTCTGTGCCATTCCTCCTGAGACATGGAATAACAGAACAGCAGAAAACACATGGGCTGATAACACAGTAATGTCTGGGTTCTCTCTGCCGTTCCTCATTTATTGAACTATGTGTAATAGGCTAGGCCGAGCTGCTAAGAGAAATTTCTCTTGGAGATGTAGAATGGAGCTTAGGAATAGTGATGTCCCAGAATGTTAACTGATTTGATTGTGTCATTCAACTCAGTAATGATCAGGGGCCCCCAGTTACTTACTAAGTAAATGAAATCCAGATGGTGTAGTTTGGAATTCATAAAATTCCAAACTACATAAAATTACGAGAGGTAATACAGTGGGATGACCTTTGGTGTTGGTCCAGCTGAGTTTGAAACTCTGCTGCCAGTGGGTAAATCACTGAATCTTTCTGAACCCATTTAGGCAATAAGGGCACCTTCCTTGTTGAGCTAATGGTTAAATGAAACATTGAATGGAATTCACTTAGCACAGTACCTAGAACACAGCAAACGGCTAATCCATGACGTGATTGGTAGCAGTAGTTATCGTTGCTGACAATAATAAGGCTATGGTTCTTTTCTGGGTGGACAGTTATCTATGCAGGAAGGCTTTTGTTTAATTCTTGGCTCCCTGAATGTGTTACGGCCAGTGATAGATAATCCCAAGAGAATGTGTCAGACCAAAATTTATCTGAAAAATATAAGAAATGTGGGGTGAATTTCAATGCCTGTTGAACTTTGTTTGAGCCCCAGGGAGGTTCGGTGAATGTCTGAAGGATAGAGGTGCTGGCCTGGTCACTGTGACTGGAGCTCAGTCAAAAGTTTAGGTTTGACCTTAACATTTCAACTCTAAGGCCCTGATAAATCCCAGCTTTCTATTAGGAGCAGTTTTACACTTCTGTGCATCTGCTTTGGCTACATTTTTGGCCACAGTGGGGGAGACCTCTCTTTAATGACTCCTCACAAATAGTTTTCAGAAGTGGTTAGCTTACTAAAGTTCTTTTGTTCCGTAAAGTCTGCATTAAGTGTCACCTATGCACCCACTGAATGATCCCTTTGTTATGATATACTTCCTAACTAGGGTCTGGGTTGAGAGAAGCCTTGTCAGCTAAGAAAGGACTAGTCATCAGGTATCAGGTATTTCTTTGGGGCTCACTTATTTCCACTAAGGCCCATGCTGTTTTCACTTGATATCGGCTGTGTGGGATAGCGTTAATTCTACATTTCTACAACCCACGTCCGATTCATTTTTTCCCCTCTACACAACAACTTACTATTTGGATTGGAGGAATTGTCTGGTGATCAGATCCAAACCCCACAATATATTTGATGAGCTATGAGCTGTAAGCACCCCCAACCAAAAACAAAAAGACACTATTCACTCTTCTGATTGAAACAGACAGGACCCTATGGTCCTTGTCCCCCACGTCCTCTGCCTGCATTTTGTTTGTAGAAAAACTTTAGCCAAAAAATAAGTTTAATCAGAGAAGTGAGAAAATGCAGAAACAAAGGAAAACAATCAAAGGAGACCAAATAATAATAGTTTAATCATTAAGCAAAATCAAGGACCTTTGGTTCCTCCTCAAGGGCTATATTCTGAGCCATATCCTGTGAGCTGTCTTGTAGATACTGAAAACCCCACCAGGTGGAAGAAGTTAACTACACGATGACCAGACTGTAGCCATGACCTAAGCTGCCACAAGAACTGGCCTCAAGAAATGGGAACAAACTGACCTTGGAACTGAAGACTAACTGTACCTAAAACAATCAAGATGATGCTGGTCAGACCACCGATGACCAATGTCAAGATGACGGTCAGAGCTGACTGTGCTGTTTCTACACGTAGCCCTCTCCCTCTGCCTAAGCTCTTGCCCCCCGATTGTCTGGGGTGGGGAGGTGTGGGAGTCGGGCTTTGGACAGGCGTCCCCTCCCCCTGCAACCTGGGTGCCAGCACCCAAAATGAAGCAAACTGTCCTTGCCACCAACCTTGCCTCTTTATTGGCTTTTGAGCGATGAGCAGCTGGACCCCACTTTTGGTAACGTGATCAGCAAAGAATCTTCCTTTGGGCATCGAGAATTCCAAGTGCTACTCAGAGACGTTTTCCTGGAAATCAGTGTTGGCTTTTCCTCCAAACAACTCAAGAATATCTCGTTAACATGATCCGGGTTTCTGAGTCTGCCTCTAGCCACCTTCTGCAGTGGCAAGGAAAAGGGCGGGGAGCCTGAGCGCCCACCACAAACCTCAATGCCACAATGTGCACGCCCTGCCCCCATCCCTGGCATCCCTGCCCATCGGGCTGGTGATAAAGTATTTAGGGGACTTTATGAGTTTCCAGGGGCTCAATTCAAACTCCTTCCTTCAAACCCAAACTTCAGAGAGAGGAGGAAAGAGCGAGCTGTTGAAACACCCCAGTCTTGCTTCTCATGGAGGAAACAAACCACATACATCTGAAGATGATTAATTGTCTTTATTGGAGGAAAACAAGAAGTCATCAATCTCATTGTCATTATGATAGAAATCTTGATATGTGTACATGATTGTCAAGGCAGAGAATCATTTGCTACACAGGCCCGTTAACAATTTTGCAGTGCCGCAAACCTACGTGGGGTAAATTTCTTGCAGAGTTTATTACATGCATGGAATAAATGCACAGTTTCCCTTCTTTTGGACAAGCATGGTTTTATGTAAAAATCAAACCAATTGCAAGCCTGGTAATACTAGACACAGGGACATTCCTGGGTTCGACGTCATAAGCTTTTGGAAAACGTGCTCACTGTTGGGAGAGCTGCAAGAAGGACTATGACATTATGTGTGGTGACCAGAGCCAATTTAGAAATTGTTCCAAATTCTATGCTGGACAGAATGTACCTTTCATGTCTTCCAACCTGATCGTGGGGCTAAGAGAAATGTCCTCTGAAACATGCCGCCTGTCTTGCAAAACAAAGATGCTGCAAGGTTGCAGCATTTTTGTCGCTGTCAAAATGTTTTTGTTTTTGTAAAATGTCCAAACCGCTGCCAGTCCTGCCCCAGCGCTCCTCTTCCCTCAAGTGCAAGGCTACCGTGAGGGCCCAGGAACCTCAGTCTGTCCAGATGAAGGTTTTCCTTTGAGAAGTAATTTATCTAGTGTTTGGGGCTTTTGAGTCCCTGGTCATACCTTATCCCTATGACTAAAGCCTCAAACACTCCTTTCATTTTCTTTTTTCCTGTCCATAAGAAAAAATCACCTTGAAGTAAACTAAGTTGGTAAATCATCAGAAGACATAATCATCGTATGAGAAGTTTTCTGGAGACCAAAAGATTCAAAATGGATGTGGCGAATGCAGAAGCGGCATTGGTACAAAGGGGGAAATGCAATAGTTAGTCCCTTTGGTGTAGAGAGATTCAGACACCGAGAAGCCATTCCACACTTTGTCCACGAAACCAGACCTGGCAGCCACATGCTGTGGGGCTGGCCGCCAAATGCACAGCCTTTGGATTTCCAGAAGCAGAGACCCCCGGAGTCACAAGCCCAGCTGCTCCTGCTGCAGGTGGCAGGGAAGGCGGGAAGGGCTGATGTTCCTTGCTGTCTGATTCGGCGCAGAGCAGGAGGCGGGCCAGGCCGTGGCCAGCACGCAGGGCGCACTTCACAGTGGGGCTGGGCTCCTGTGCCCATGCTCAGGCTGCAGATCACGATGCACTGGGACCATGACGAAGGGTGGGGCTGAAGGGGGCTTGGGCCTCTATCTTCCTCTTTCTCCTCCCTGCCTGCTGTCCAGTGTAGAGGTTTCCAAGCTATCTCATCTGCAGACTAGTTTTCTTGGCATCTCTGTGAATTAAGTCCCCCTTTTAGAAATCTGCCCAATTTACCTTTCCTATCACAACATTTTCAATTCTGAAAACCAAAGGACTGGAACACTCTTTGGCCAATGTCAGGTACACCCGAAGCCCCAACCTACGGGCCAGCCCCCTGCCCCCCGCAAAGAGTTGTGGGTTACATACAGGTATATACATTTTTCTTTAAACAAACTGAACAGTGTTTGGTCTGGAATGTGTTTAAGGAAAAGGCCGACTCTGCAGAGTGTGAGTGGACAGAACGGGAAGCAGTATTGTTTCAGAAGAACATGCAAAGGTTTCGTGCATCGGTTGAATCGGAGGACTTTCATTCCTTTTGCCAGAAGTGACTGTGCAACCCTGGGAAAGAGTACATCTTATTTCTGTTTATGGAAATGGGAGGAGCTGCCCTTTGCTGCACTCTGCTGTTCCTTCTCACATCCAGAGGAAACCCAGCAGTGAGCTTGTGGAAATCATATGAAGTCGAGAAGTCATGAGTGTTGCAGGCAAAGCACAGAGGCCATACCCGCCTTCTCCTGCCCTCAGCCCTGGAGTGATGGTTCCAGGGTGGCTTCTCCAGGGTGAAGAATCAACACAAGCCCAGGCTCTGGGTGGGCCAGGGGGCCACGGTGGCCAAAGCCTTAAAATACAGAGTTATCTCCCCTGGGATACGGTCTTTTCTTTCTGTTTAAAATTGCTCACAAAATGTCAAACCCCAGGGCGTTCATCAGATTAAGCTGTCATTCCTCCAGAGAGAGGGTCAATCCCCCTTTTCAGGAGGGGTCACTTGGGTTCCCTCCCTTTGTCCCTGGTGTTTTTGGCCTTCGTTCTAAAGGGGGGAGGTCCTCCTCTCCCGATCACAATTCACCCAGGATCTGCTGGACGCCAAGGGAGACAAATGAACAGGATGAGGTTAGTGACGGGCAGGTAAACTGAGTCTGGGGCGCCAAATGCCAAATGCCTTTCTTCACCGGCTCATGCTCCCTAAGTGCCAGAGCCTTGCCTGGTTAACCCCAAGCCTGACTGCCCAGTTCCCTGGACGCTATGCTAAGAGCTGGCTGGAGAGCTGGGACCTTCTCAAAGGTCTGTTGGGGCCACATGCGGGTGCACGCTCTCTGTTTCAGACAAATGCTAGCCTCCCTGATGGCCTCACGGATGAGATGAAGACCAGGGAAGTGAACGGGGATAGACAGGCAGCTGAGTGCAAGACCATTTGAGGACACTCTTTCAAATGACAGAAACAATCCACTTGCTGTGAGGAGGTGAAGAGACCAAGCTGGGGGGCGGGGAGGTTGGAAGGCAGACTGTGCTGAAGTCCATGGTCCACCATTAGCCTCAGCTGCACACAGTGGCCTCCAGGGGGTGTGTAAGCTGGGGGCCCATATGAAATGCTCAGCTTCCTCGGTGGAATTTGACATCAGTGAGGGTCCTAGGACTTTGCCACTCCACTTGGCAGGTGTTACCAAAAGGCACATTCTGAGCTCTCTTCCCATGTTGTCATAAAGTGTAAATAATACTAAATACGGTTGAAAGAGAACCTCCATTCTTTTACCACGAAGGCTCTCTCAACAGAGCGTAAGTTCTACATGGGAGTTATCAGTATTTTCTCCTCCTCCTAAAACAATGGGAATACACGCATCCAGACAGTAGAGACTCACTTGATGTCAAGCTCAACAGGGTCTACTTCTGGGCTGAAACAGTCACCATCTCCTGACGTGTTACAGGCCAACCATGGCCAAGAGCAGACCCCCAACTGCAAAAAGGGGGTCCGGCCCATCTCTCAGCTCTTCTGCACTTTCCAGGTAAGACATACTTTCAAACTAATTGCATAGAACATGCACCCCACACATCAGCTCCAGAAAATAATTTATCATCAATAAATTTGGCTTCAGATGTTGCTTTCCAAGTGCAAATGACCGCACATAGCACACAGTACGAGGAGCTGATAACTATTCAGGCACACGTTCGAAGTATCAAAGTCAGGCAAATCATCACCCCTCCTCCAAAACATCTAGTTCCTTGTTTTCTTTTTTTTTGTTTTTGTTTTTTTTGGCCACGCCATGAGGCACGTGGGATCTTAGTTCCCCGACCAGGGATCGAACCCATGCCCCCTGCATTGGAAGCACAGAGTCTTTACCACTGGACAGCCAGGGAAGTCCCTAGTTCCTTGTTTCCTTATACTGTCTAAACTTGAATCTTCCATTACACTTGTTGGTAAGCAACATTCTAATAAACCCCTGGGAGAGATGCCTCAGTTTTCTGTTATTGTTTATAATATTCTTGCTACTGTCCTCCAACTCAGGTACCACTTGCTTCTTAACCGGGTCTACTGTCGTTTTATAGACATTTCCAGGCTTTTTACAAATTTTGAAAAGTAATAGCTTGATTTTCACTCTGGACGCTGGTGTGGCAGACACCAAGCGGGAATCCTGTCAAGGGGCTGAGTGCCTAGGACACGGTGGACACGGGGTAGACCAGATGCCTGTCTTTCCGGCTGCTCTCCTGCACACCTGCACTGCCCTCCTACAGGAGGCAGAATGGAGTGCTGAGCCTCATAACACTGTGTGTGTGATGGGGGGCATTACTGAACATTCGGCCTGGACCTAGGCCAAGGTGCAGAAGTGACGAAGATGGCATGGCCTACAGGATCCACTGTGTCTGGTCAACTGTGGGAGAAGGGCGTGAGGACAACAACCAGGAAAGTCACTGGACCATCAGGCAGGTGAACAGGGACCCCCTGCGGGCTCGAGGCTGACTGTGCGACGCAGACTCAAGGTATCACATGGCGCAAGGGCCGGGGGGGGGGGGGTCTTCTGCAAAGTGGACGTTTGGAGCCACCTGCTCGCCTCTTCCAGACAGCATCCTCGAGGCCTCCTGGAGAAGCGCTTTTCCCTGGGTTTCATGCTGTGCTCACTCTATCCTGCACACCAGTCCACCACGTGGGTGGACAATGTGGCCCAGTGGTCCCCGGACGTTGCTGCTTTGAAAGTCCTACATCCCAGGAAATCCTTCAGTCCTGGGCAAACTGGGACCTTTGGTGACCCCCACCATCACAGGTCTTTGGTTTGGGGATTCCCTTGGTCAGAAGGATGGCGTTCAGCGCTGGCTGGGCCTGGCTGGGGTGGTCTCTGGCTGTCACTGCAGTGGCCACTGTCCTGCTTGCCGGGTCTCCGGCCATCACTGCAGTGGCCACTGTCCTGCTCTCCTTAACCAACCCAGATAAATGGAGTCTTTTCCAAGGCCATTTCCCTCTCCTCCCTTCTGGATCAGCCTCTAAGAACAGCGTAAACATTTGCAGAAACAACTGGTGTAAGCTGGAGGCCATTTTCAGTTGTAAGATTAGAAATGCATTTTTAAAAAACAGAGAGATTAATTTTAAAACTGCATAGCTGAGAGCAGGGCTTCCACGTTGTCACTCCCCTTGTGAGAAACGAGAGCTGTGTGGGAAATTCACTCCAAACAAAATGGCATTGTGCTCCTTCGGCCAGGGAGGCTCTTAGATCTTTGCTGGGGGAGCGGGGGCCCTCTCCTTCACAGCAAGTCTATCCTTTCGTCTTGGGAGAGCAGGCTTCTTCATTTCTGACCACTGATGGCAAGAGGGCCCTGGGTCTCCAGCTGGAGAGGGCTTTGCTGCAGGAGCTGCCGGGCAAGGTTTTCTGCAGGTTCCCTCCCACGGTGCCCGCACCCCCGGGGAGAAGACAGGCTGCAGAAGGGCTGAGTTGTCTTCTCAGAAAACTGCCCCTCCGAGGAAGAAGGGGGAGAGAAGGAGAAGGAACTGAAGTAAAGTACACTCTTCACCTCGGAAACTGATTCTTGATCGATCCTCTTATTAGAATTTTAAAAAGTACTTTTAAATCCCCTTCGGAAGAAAAAAAAAATCTCTTAAAGGTTAACATAAAATTCTACTACTGACAAGCAAAAGGTACAGGGCACAGAAGTAAGAAGTATAGCTCAAAAGGACATATTTCTTAAAAGGAAAAAAAAAACCCCTAATGCACAATATTTACCGATACTTAAATAATCCAGTTGAAACCTTTTTTTGTTATGAATGAAAAAATACAACATAGACGGTTACCTCTACTGAGAAGATCGGAAACGACAGGGCTGAGGGAGAGGAACTGAGAAAGTCCATTCTGTTAGGGCTTTGCAGACTCGTATGTACAGCACCAGATCCTATCAAATCTGCTCCCTTGAGCCAGTACACTTTGTGAGAAATGAACACTTCAGAATTGCAGTATAAAATATGGCCGTAAAAAACTTCTGTCTTCCAGTCCTGTGCAGGGAGGTGCACCGTGCAAGGTGGGATGGCTCTGGAGTGGCTGGTGGCGCTGGTGGCCCCTGGGGGCCCCCTTCCCTGGCCTCACCCCCTGGGCCCCACCTGTAGGGCCGGTCACTTGCTTCCAGAGTGCACTGTCGTCACAGTGGTGGGCCTCGGTCTCCGATCCGCTCCCATTCCTGAGACCCCTGATGAAGAGGACATGAAACTACAGAGCGTGGAGGGTGCCAGACCTGCAGGGGGATAGCAGACACAAGAAGTTCAAAGCTTCAGAAGGATCTACTCACTCCCTCTTCCCGCTGCAAGGGTTTGTCGCGGGGGACAAACTTTTATGCACTTGACTCCAAATTTTTCCCTATCCACGGGAAAACATTTGCAATGTATCCAAATTCTTCTTAGACCCAGGTCTTCCCTCCTTGTTTCATTATAATAATGATAACTGCTTTGTATTTGGATACAACATGGTTTAGCCACCATAGTATGATGGGTTCCATTTACTGAGCACTTACTACATACTAGGCATTGGGCTAGGTACTGAATATATACCGTCCTCATAAGAACTGTTTATTTCTTACAATGGCGGTGAGAAGCAGGGATTTTAAGAGTGAATAAAGAATGTGATACCCCCTTCTGACCCCAGCTTGGTGTGTGGTCTGGACCCTTGGCTAAGAAGCATTTGTGACATAGGGCACATTGAAACGGGGCTGCTGATTGAGTCCTCTGTGAACTCGGCAGCCCCCTGGCCTAGAAAAATTCTTCACGGGCTGCACCTCCAATGCTCCCCAAGCAAATGTGTTGGCATCCGAATGTTCTCACGCGGGATTATCTTCCTAGCTGCGGCAGTACACCCCTCACCCCCGTCACTGTGAACTCCGTGGGCTCGAACATCGGGATAGCCATAAAGTAAATCACTAAGATGGCTTTGCTGTCAGAGCCACTGTCTGAATCTTCAAGTAAACGATAGATTGTGGGGTTTCCTTTGACCAGAGGGTGGAAATGATTTGCCCTGCGATGTAAATGTGGGCCTAAAGCAGCGTGCAGTTGTGTCAGGGGATGCTCATGGAGATTTCCCGGGAAAACTTAAGGGCTGGACATTCCGGAATGAGGTGGGAGGGCTATTTAAAGAGGAGGGGAACCTTTTTTGAGGCAAACAGGAAGGGGTGTGATGCTCAGAGTGAGACCAAACTGAAGGGTCTCAATGATTATGGAAATGAAGGCCTACCGGGACGATCAAGGCAACTTCTCTGCAGTGCAGAGGAGCCCATGGAAAGGCCTAGTATGAGATTAAGAGAAATATAGAGTGGAGAGTGGGAGAGAAAAATAAGGAGGGTGTGAGTGTGTCCCCCGTGACGTACTATCCCACGCACAGATGAAGGACAACGAAACATTAGTACTATTACTTTGATCCCAAAGCCAACGCACTTCGTATAAATTAGCTCAAATGATTATCAGAAAAAAAAAAAAATACATTTTAAAAGTCAATGAGATCAGACTGTCATATGAGTCTCTGCCATCCCTTCCTCAGTCCCTAAGGGTGATGCCCAATGAGAAGCAAATCAGAACATAAGGAGATGGATGAGGAAGTGTCGGGCTTTTGTCCACACACACGTGGCCGTGTGGGACTCGAGCCTCAGATGTCTTATAAATGGAAACAACAGTAGCTACGGTTGTAGAAATATGAAATAACTAAATTTAAAAAAATATTTAAAAAATAGTGAATAGGATTGTTGGGAGTATTAAATAAGATCAAGTATTCACAGACCCGGACAAACAGTAGCTACTCAGCAAACGAGAGTCCCCCTCTCTCCCTACTAGATTTGTCTCCAACGCCAGTTGGAAAGTTCTGTTTTTGCTACATACGCACAATCTTTTTGGCTGGCCAGACTGAGGCTGCTCGAAACACTTGTATTTGAACTGTCCAGGCTGCTGCCAAGATGTAGTTTTCTCATATGTCTCACGACGGCCGTGGCATTAAACGCTTGCTGAAATTTAAGAAAGGGGAAAGGCAGACAAAATATTCCAGCTAATTAGAAAAGGCCGAGACTGTCTCCTATCATTTATCCTGTTACCCTAAGCAGGTCAAACTTCTGACAACGGTCTCATGATCCACTAGAAAGGAAACTGATGTTGCCTCTTCTTCCAAAAGTACATTCATCCTTTGACCCTCTCCCCCCCAAGAAAATATATTTTGGAGATGAAAAGAGTATTTTTCTTCTGACATAATACCGTGGAATACAGAGTAAACGTAAGCCAATTCCCTCCATAATTTAACAGAATGACTTCTAGAACAAAAGGTGTATTATAATAATAGAGTACCTTAAAATATATTTTAAGCGTTTTAATTTTCTGATTATTGGTGTTTTGTCCTAAATAAAGTAGGTCAGTGGAATTACTGTCTGTGTAGTCTCTAGTTGTTGGTTCTCGTGCAAGAACAGCCAGCTCTCAATTACCCATGCTGTGAGAACACAGGGTAATGGATTAAATCCATCACATTTTTACCAGAATGTATTGATGAGTTCAACTGAAATTTCCTGGGTTTTTTTCCCCCTTTTTATGTCACTTTAATAATAGTCAACGCTTCAAGGTTCCAGCAAAGTGAAGGAAGACAACAGGGATTGTGTTCTTAAGAAACAGCAAATGAGGAAAAGCTGGCAATATTGCTATATTTTTGGATCACAGAGGGGAGATATTATTAAATCATACACTTTATCCCTCTCACACCACGATGCTCTCGCCAAGTCTTAATCCTTATTGGTTAAAATTAGCACACATTTGGGTGAGGCTATGGGGATTCTCATCAAACTTGGGGGATAGTAACACTTAGAAATAAAAAATGCTTGAACTGCAGGGCCAGTTTCGTTTGAGTGGTTAAGTTCACTGGGAATGTAGGAAACACAGGACTTACTCTCCACTTGCTTTTGGCGAAGTTCTTCCGGATCTGGGCGCTGACCGACTCGTGGATGTTTTTGCTGAGGGCTGTGTCACCAGCGATCCTGAAATGGAGGCAAAGATGCTTCTCAAGAGGGTTTCTTGGGGGGAGGGGGGTGTCTGACACTGGGTCCCAAGCTGCTTTCCTGGGGAAGCCATGTCCTGTCCCCTCCCACAGGTCTGCTGAGAGGATGGCGTGTCACTGCCCCTCCAGGCTGCTTATTTCAACGCACAGCTCTTGTCTGAACGTCCATGACCCACCACCACTGCACTCCAAGCCCGGTCCCACCTCCGTACCCTGCACCCCCTCCAGGATGGGTCAGCACCTTCATGATGGGCCACTCTGCCCGGCTCCCCCTTCTTCCCCTTTTCACCCCCATTCCTGCAACATCAGAGTCCACAAGGACAACACAACCTGAATTCAGCTCTCCTCTTTCTCCCCTCCCCCAGCTTCCTACCCGCCGTGTCTCACCTCTGAGGTCTCAAGCGTGCTGGTCTGAGCACCAGACCCCTACCCAGGGTCTCCCCCCCAGCTCCTCTCTGGCATCCCCAGGATCTCTGGTCCATGGACCTGCTCACACCCGGGGCCCACTGCTCCCTTCTGGCTCCATCCCGGCTGACCTGAGCTCTGCCACGTTCTACTCCCCTCTCTCCCCCCGGGGCCCCTCACCTTCTCTGTGCTCAGTGACAGGGTTCCCAGCCTCAGCTCGGCCCTACTTCCGAGCCTACAACTCGGCACACCTACTCCTGCATTTCCTAGAAAAGTTCTCAGAACCGCAAGAACCATGTCGCCGCTGCCTTCCACTGGGTCCTTTACAACACTGGGCAATCTTTTCTCTAGTTCTTGCTTGACCTTAGCCTTCTATTAGCAGGGAGGAAGGGAGGTTTAGCTTCGACCTCCTGTCCTCAGAGTCCCCCCTCATCCTATTACTTCCTCCCTCTGCTTTATCACACCTCTTCTCTCCCCCACCCCGCCCCGCCCCCCATTCGTTCTTACACCTCCCTCTTCTCTCTGGGCTTACAGTCGCCAGTCTCGTTGATGAGCTGGGGGTCCCTCCAGCCCTTTTTTTTTTTTTCCTCCAGCCCATTCTTCTCCCTCACATCCCTTCTCAACCTCAATGCCACCCTCGCTCTACATTTGACCGCTTGGCCTCCCCCAGTCTCACAGGAAGTTGCATTTTGCTCATTCTTTTCTGGGCTTGAAGCCATCCATCTTCCCTTTCCTTTAGCACCAAACTATTCAATTCTGAGCTGATGCCTGATGCCTCAGAAGTAATTTCTTGGATCTCGGAACTGTTAAGGGGCAGACAGATGCCGGGGACACTGACCATACTTTCTGGCTGGCAGAGCCCGTCAGGTCCCAGACTCCGAGGGCCCTGGACACAGACCAGACTGGGCACAGACTGCCGTGTTCAACCGATTTAGGACATGAGAGGAACAAGCTTGGGGCTTATTCAGATAGGAAACCAGCCCTGGATAAAAAATATGTTCCCACCACCAGCCTTTCCTTTTAGGAACCGAAAACATGGCTGGTGGACTCTGGAAGGTAAGTCTGTGCCAGGCTGGGCCTAAGTTTAGAATACCATAGAGTCTGCTATTCCCAGCTCAGAGCAAGACCCCCCCTAAATAGACTCCTCTAGTTTTCCCAGCAGGGCTGAAAATACACAGCTCAGAGGATACTCAGAAACGAACCAAGGCCAGGCAGGTTTCCATCTCCAACAACTGTCAATTGCCTGCTTTCCCCAGATGCACATCAGTGAAGAGAAACACGTGAATGAGCAAATCCACCCGAAAGCCCAGGCACAAGGAAGCTGGGGAGCAGATGTCGTTATTCAGCCTCTCCTCCTGGAGGCCTCACATGAGTGTTTCCTCCTGTTTGTAACAGCTGCATCCTCAGAAAAGGACGCCAGCTCCACCTCGGGGTGGTCAGCTCTTTCTTGGAAACCAGGGGGCAGAAGTGGTGGGAAGGATGGAATTCTCGGGCTGAGCACTGACGAGGGGGCAGAGCCCGCTCCAAACCCAACAGGCCGGCTGGCGGGGTGTCAGGGAGACCCCCTTCCCTGTGGGTGAGCAAAAGGCTGAGAGGGGAGGAAAATGCAAATTTTCAGTTATTCTAGGAACGTTCCGTGCTCACTTCCCACAGTGCCAGGGCGCGCTGCCGCTGGGTAAGGACCAAGCGGGGCACACGGTGGCCCGGAGGCCGCTGTTAAACACTCTTCTTGGAGGTAACGCCACCTCGGCTCACAATAGCTCACGACCTTCCTCACACAGGCAACTGCGCGGGGATACACGTATATGCAGAGCTGATTCACTTCATTCTACAGCAGCAACTAACGCAACCATGTAAATTATGCTCCAGTAAAGGTGTTAAAAAAAAAGAAAGAAAAGAGAGAAAACAACTTAAACAAAAAAAAATAGGCACCGCAACCACGCTGCTGCTCGCGTCGGCCAGGGATCACGTGGGACGCTCAGCGCCCCCAGCGTCAGCATCATTCACCCACAAGACCGGACGTGTGGAGTCTCAGCACTGGAAGGGACCTTGGAGGTCACCCTGTCCTAGGAACTGCACAACGCCCCTGAGACAGGAGACTTCCCTTATGAATCCGCACACACACACCCCTACGTTTCATCTGGGTCTCCCGACGCTCTCTCGCTTCCCTGTTGCTGCCTCTACACTAACAAAGGACGTGGCGTTTATATCAATTCCGCTCCATCAGGCCTGTCTGGCTCTTCTTCTCCACGCACACATCATTAAACTCTTCTCCTCGCCTTTGGGTGTTTTTGTGTTTTGTACACGGTCTGTTCTACCTGCACGGCTCTGATTGTACACTTTTCTAGTCACTTGCTCAAAACAGGCTTGGTGATGCCTGGTGTGTACCCCAAACTCCTGGGATCCATCCCAGTTCCTGTGGTCACCGCAGCTTGGCTGGCTGGAATCCGGGGAGGGGAGGGGTTTCCATGAACACTGAGGAGGGTGCAGAGTTGAAGCCCCCCTGGCTAGCCCAGCCTGGAATCCCCGCCCTACCCTGGACGGCCCGGGTGAGGCTGGCATCTCCGTGAAGTCCTGCTTGACTCTGAGCCCACCTTGCCCCTCTGCCAGGCCCCTGACGGTGAAACTGACCTTTCTCTTCTTTGTTTTTTTTCAAAAATGTCTGGTGAAGGAGAGATGAGGTTTTAACTGGCCTTCCTGCCTTCCACAGAGTGAGGCTGGATCAGTGAACAAGTTCTAGGAAGCAAATCACTTCCCTTCTTTTGAGGTCATTTTCCTCCTCTCTAAGATAACCTCAAAAGCCTCCTACATGAAAGATAAATAAGTACTGGGGTTGTAATGTACAACCGGGTGACAATGGTTAACACTGCTTTATGGCATACTTGAAAGTTGTTAAGAGTAAATCCTGAAAGTTCTCGCCACAAGGAAAATAATTTTTTGTAATTAACATATTAGGCAATGGATATTAAGTAAACTTATTGTGGTAGTCATTTTGCAACATATATGGATGCCAAGTTATTATGCTCTAACACCTTAAACTTATACAGTGCTGCATGCCAACTCTCTCTCTGTAAAACTGGGGAAAAAGTCTCATACAGCTGTAAAAGCCAACTGTTTATAAAATAAGAAAAACTTTCTTATCTTCACTGTCACATACTTTGACCTATCATCCAAAGTGACTTATTAAAAAAATATCAGGCTGACACACAATCAAAACTGCCTCCTTTTCGGAAAATTCCTTCCTTCCCCTTTCCTTCTCCTGTCAGTTTGGGGTGAAGAGCATCATTTTGGAATCTGACAGTTCTGCCTGGAAACATTTCTGGCTTTGCTGTTAGCTAGTTGTGTCCTGTTGGCTAAGTTTCTTTATCTTTCTACGTATATTTCCTTATCTCAGAAATGGAGACAAAAATCTACCTTACAGGATTATCATAAAAGAAAAAATGCGGTGATATTTTAATATGATTAGCACGGGGCCTGGGACATCATAGATGATAAATGACGGCTGTTATTATACATTACAATACTGTGAAGCTGGTCAGGAAAGGACCTTGGGCAGGTCCCCTTTGGAAGGTTAATCAGCATATGAGCATCCGGAGAAAATGCTGCAGGAGACGGTGGAATCAACAGGGAACAGTGTTCTAGAGGACTGGTCGGGGCGGATGTCTCCTGAAGTCAAGGGTCTGCGCGTTGTAGCGGCTATTTTACTACTCCTGGCCTTTGTTTCAAAAAGGAGGCTCACGGTGCTTTAATAAGAGCTTAATGATGCAATTGCTACGTGCCAGATGCACTAAACCCTTTCTGTGTGTGCACGATCTCAGTCACTGCTTACTTCAATCCTGTAAACTAGGTACTGTTATGCTCACTTTAAAGATGAGAAAATTCAGGCTCAGAGAAGTATAAACCCAAAGTCACTGGGTTCAACCCTAGTAAGTGGCACAAAAACAAGGTGGCCTCGGGGCACCGCAGGAAATGTAGTCCAGGATGTCGTAAACTATCAACTCCTCCCTCTGGAGGTGAAGAAACACTAACTTGAAAAGCATCTTAAAAGGAAAAGAACATGTGACCTCAATTCATTTACGGACTGAGTAATAAGTTCAAGGAATAAAACGCCACTCTTAATGCCTCCTTTGGGAATCACCCTCCCTAAAAATGATCCTAAAATACTTCACATGAAGCGAAAAAGCTACAGCTATCTTTTGTGCATCTGCAATTAGTGCCTTCAGAAGACTGTGTCCTCGAGTGTTGGTTTGGGGAAAGGATGAAACCCACGGGCCAGATGGGATGCAAGCTTCACCCGTGGCTTTCACAACGAAGCCCCAGCTGACCGGCATCTCTAGTGGGTGATTCTTCTTACCACGGGTGCCGAGCTGCCTGCTCGCATGTGTATCTTTTATTTGGATCTTTCTCCATCAGGTTCCGAATGAAGTCTTTTGCTGTTCAAAAGGAAGGCACAAGAGGGGGAGTCAGTATGTGGCTTGAGATATGACAATATGATACCAGGGTGCCTCTGTGGGTATCAAGGTTACCATGGAAACACGAGACCAGCCTTCCATGGACACTCGGGACCTGGGACAAAAAGGCAGGTGGTACCAGCATCTGGGGAAAAGGGAAGACAAGGTTTGGGTTTCTGAGTGGTGACCCTGCCTTCCCAGCTCGAAGTCCCTTCCCGCGGGCAGCTAGTGGTGCCTTTGTTTCGGGGAAAAGGTGAAATATCTTTGTTGCCAGGTGCCTCTCGCTCAGCTCACTGCTGCCTTAGGGAGCTGTTTTGCTGACGTCCTCACGTTAGGAGCTCACCGATTCAACAAAGTCGCCCGAGTACGTGGATGCACAGCCCCCCAGAAACCCCCTCTGCAACCCCCGCAGATGATTACAACCAGCAAGCAGGAAATGACGGTGCAGGAGATGCGCCCTGGTGGGGAAGCAAAACTGCTTGGAGGCCCAGGACCAGGTATGACCCAGAGCAGGACACTGAGAACGTGAGAGGTTGGGACCCAGAACCAGAAGATGACACATGCCAGGTGGGAAATCTGTCGCCTTGTGGCGTCTGGCAGCTCCCTGCCCACAGGGCTGGACTTTCGGGGGACAGCTGGGGCCCTTCCTGACTCAGGATAAACTACTCCCCGTGTGGCTCTTTCCTGCAAGCCTTGGAGAACTATAGCCCGGTCCTAGGTGTTGGAAGATTGAGGAAGAAAGCAGGGCATTTCCAGTTAGGAGGAAATAACACAAATAATAAAATGGGATATTTGAATAGCTCATTCATTATTTCATGTGATCCTGACACCACCTACAAGGGTGGGAGTGGTATTATTACCATCTTCATCTTGTCAGGGAGGAAACTGAGGCTGGAGACATTCCATCTGCTTACGTGGGCCTTGGGTTTGATTTTTATCCCTGAGGAGGAAATGGTGAACTTCCCTGGGAATGTTCTGTGTGGCACAGTAGCTGAGACTCGGGCTCTGGAGTGAGGGCGTGGGTTCAAACCCCAGCTCTGCCACTAACCAGCCGTTATTTCACCTTCTGGGGCCTCAGTTTCCTCATCTGTCAAATGGGGCTAATAGTAATCCCCACCTGATAGGCTGTCCTGAGGACTGGGTGGACTAGGCACACGTGCGGAGTTTAGAGTACACAGCACACAGTAAGGAAGCCCAATAAACTCGAGCTAATACTGTCTCACTCCAGAGCACCCAGATCAGGGTACGGCCAGGAGTGGTGGAGAAGTGAGTCCCCACCCCTCAGCCTGGCTCGGGGCACGTGTCCCACATGTGTCCCAAGCCTCTCCTCGCTTCTCAAGTCAAGTCTAAGTGCGTAGCATCCTCAGGAGCCTCAGGACCGTTCTGAGCCTCCGGGGACCGCTGGAGACTCGGGTGGGCTGGGTGTCGGGGTCCCAGGAGCCGCCCACAAGGAGCCGAGAGACCTACCGGAGTCGGAGATGTCGTCCCAGTAGGGGGAGTCGAACTCATATTCTGCCTTGAGAATCTGCTCGAAGAGCTTGGAGTCATTTTCGTCATAGAAAGGAGGGTAGCCACAGAGCCTGGAAGACAAGAGGGTCTCTTGTGAGGATCTGAACCGGCTGAGGACCCAACACCACGTGGTGGCTTGACATCCTGCCTGGGAGGAAGAGCTGTCTTCCCTGGAGTGGAGGAAGCCTGCACCGTGTGCGCTACAGACACAATCTCAGCAAAGGACCCACACGTTCTCTGGGCACACGGGGCACAGAAGTAAAATCGTGACTTCACAGGTAGCTAAAAGGGTTAACCCTGGTGGCGACTGAGGGTCAACACATCTTAACGCTTTGCACGGTATTCACCAGAGTCCTGCACGCCCTGAACACCTACCAGGCCGCCCTCTGTGTATTAACGTTATTGATCTTACTGCCTGGGATATGGTCCCTAACAGATGATGGGTTAGTGAAACAAACAAAATATATGTTTGGTATACATTTCAAGACCTTTCCAGGTTCATTTTATTTAATAAATCATCAGAGGAAGAAAGGGAAATTTTATACACTTGAGTCACCAAATTGCCGCAAGTGGCCCCAGACTGCAGAGTATCACCTCCCGGGCCCGGTTCAGGTATCTGGAGGGTTACAGCTTTGCCCATTAATATGCAGTAAGCAGAAGTTGAGATAAATCTTAATACCATGACCCTTTTTCCACTGAACTGTTTCAAAGTTTTTTTTTTTTTTTTTTTTTTTTTTGTGGTACGCAGGCCTCTCACTGTTGTGGCCTCTCCCGTTGCGGAGCACAGCCTCCGGACGCGCAGGCCCAGCGGCCATGGCCCACGGGCCCAGCCGCTCCGCGGCACGTGGGATCCTCCCGGACCGGGTCACGAACCCGCGCCCCCTGCATCGGCAGGCGGACTCCCAACTACTGTGCCACTAGGGAAGCCCTCAAAGTTTATTTTTAAAAGATCACATGGGAATTCCCTGGTGGTCCAGTGGTTAGGATTCGGCGCGTTCATTACCGAGGGCCTGGGTTTGATCCCCGGTTGGGGAGCTAAGATCCTGCAAGACGCATGGCGCAGCCAAAAAACATTTAAGAAAGAAAGAAAAAAAGAGGATACTAGGATGTTGGTGCAAGAAACTTCTAGTTCTAGAGGTACTGACAGTCATAATAGAAGTAGGAATTTTTGTTAAATACCCCAAATACAATTCGTGCCACGACATTGTGGGTTCTCACTCCCAGGTCTGCTACGGGCTCTGAGGTGATCTTTACCATTAAAGGCCAATGATGCATTTTCTGGACAAAAATGTCCTCATCTAAACACGAAGAGGCCAGACTAGAAAATTCTTAATATTCTTTCTGGCTTTAAGATGCTGTGGGTCTATGTTTCCTCCCCCAATCTGTTTGGCCGGTCCACGCCTGAGGCCCATGGCGGGCAGGCAAGGGCAGCCTCTGGTTGGGACTGGACATCAGGGAGGGGTGAGATTGAGGCTGCGGCCATAAGTGACGGACAGAGTAGAAGGCAAGGCTGGATTCGGGAAGGCCAAGCACAAAGCTGGACGGCGCAGAACTTGGTTCTGGGCCCGAGACAACCCACAGGGTGGCAGCAGCCACAGTGAGAGAGTCCCGCCCCCAGACGAGCCCTGAATCTTCCCACGCAGCCCAACTTTGTTCAAAGCACAGCTACAGCCTAGAGACCAGTTTAATGAGAACAAGTGAACAGGAATCAACAGACTCCAGGCCTTCGAGGGATTTAGGCTGCCAGCAAGTAAGAAATTTAATGAAGGTTCAAAACAGCTTTTAGTACAAATTTGCAGCCGCTCCTGCCGCCCTACACAGCATCACTAGTCGTGCTGCACAGGGGAACGGCCGATGACACTTTTAAAGGCTGTGAGACATTCTGTGGGCTGATAAGATTCAGAATTATCTATCTCTACAAGGTGGATTTAGGGGCTAAGTGCCTGGAAAATTTCATTTTTAAAGATTTGCTCCTTTTGGCGAAGTAAGAGCCAGTGCTTCTGAAACCACGAAGCACATATTTCACTACCCAGGAAAGCCTGCAGCTGAGAGATGGATATGGAAATGTTTCCCATAATGAGGATTTGGGCTACATGAAATGTGCATATTAGGAAAAGCAGACAGGGCAAAATGTTAGTTCATCTTGGAAAATAACGAAATTTTAGATGTGTGAGGTTTTTATTTATTAACTGTGTTTTACTTTACAGTTTGGCTTTCTTTTCAAGGAAAAAAAACTTCAAGAAAATTCCAAGAAAGATTTAATCTTCTTGTGCCAATTTTCTTAAAGTAATCCTGATTTCTTCTGGTTTTAGCTCCTCTTTTGGTGGGGGAGGGGGAGTAAAGAACACTGTGTTTATGTGTCTGTACTGAGCATGGAAGGAAAGGAAATGGATGGAGTTTGGGGACTGAGTTAAAATGAAGAAAGAACATTTTTAAATAAGGGCTGAAACAGAACAGAAGGGCAAGGAGAAGTTGTGAAACCTTCCTCAGATCTAGAAGATTTGCAGAGTTCCCTGGTCAGGCTATTTCGTGAGCAGGTTTGCGTGGTGGGTTCGATTAGGAGAAATGACTTTGAGTTGTTTCTATCTCCACATACAGAATGCTGACTTCCGTGGTCCTGGATCACCCATTTGCAGATTTCATCTCTGTGTTCATATTTCACGTTACCAAACCATTTAAATAATCTACAGATGATCTCACTGTGGGTTCTCAAAGACGATAAAGCCACTCCCAATTGTTCTAGGCCCAAAAGCCCATGGTTCAGAATAACATCTAAGCTTGACAACCCGACAACAGATGGTCACGCCCAACACAGGCAACTCGCCTTCATGGGCTCATCCATTACGTCCATCCCAGCCTCAGGATGGCCATCTGGGGAGAATGCTCCCACCTCCCATCTTCCCTTTGCTGCTTAGTCTGCCATCTCATCTACCTTGGCACACGTACACAAACATACTACTAGATTCTCATGTAGCTTCGACTGAGCACTTATTTGGGGTCAAAAACTCCACCAAGGCGCTTTGCTGTATTATCTCACTTAAACCTCACTCTCCCAGGCACTTCCCTGGCGGTCCAGTGGTTGAGACTCTGCATTTCCATTGCAGGGGGCACGGGTTCAATCCCTGGTCGGGGAACTAGATCCCGCATGCCGCGTGGTGCGTGGTGCGGCCAAAAAAAAGGATTAAAAAAAATAAAATTAAAAAAATATAAAAAAAACGAAAACAAAAAACCCCTCACTCCCCCCGGAGGTGTGCTTCCCCAACACCTTCCCTGTGTCCTTCAGAGCCACCCTCCGCTCTGCTCTGTCCCCGGGAGGCTGACCTGTACGGAGGGTTGACTGAGGGTTGAACTCTCTGGCGTCTGGTAGGGGGTTGGCCAGTGGGGTCCCCAGGGGAGATGAGGGAGGAAGGAGGAAGTCAGGGCAGGGTGAGTGTTGCCCTGAGCCTTCCCATCCAGCGCTCAGGCTGGTTACAGCCCTGGGCTGAGGGCCAGGCTGCTCTCAAGGGAGGGGACTCTACCAGACTCCCTTGGGTGTGGTAACTGCTTTCTCCCTCCCCCAATCACCGAGGGTCTAAGGGTGCTTACGGCTCAGCTGCTATAAATCTCAAGGTCCCAGTGCTATTCCTTGTGGTCCCCTCACACCAGATCCGTGTATACAGTCCCTCATACAATCCTCATTTTAAAGGTAGAGAAACGGGGCTTCCCTGGTGGCGCAGTGGTTAAGAATCCGCCTGCCAAGGCAGGGGACATGGTTCGAGCCCTGGTCCGGGAAGATCCCACATGCTGCGGAGCATCTAAGCCCATGCGCCACAACTACTGAGCCTGTACTCTAGAGCCCGCAAGCCACAACTACTGAGCCTGAGTGCTACAACTACTGAAGCCCATGCTCCACAACAAGAGAAGCCACCGCAATGAGAAGCCCACACACCGCAACTAAGAGCAGTCCATGCTCGTCACAACTAGAGAAACCCTCATGCAGCAACGAAGACCCAACACAGCCAAAATTAAATAAATAAATTTATATTAAAAAAATAAAGGCAGAGAAACTAACTTGCAGCAAAGTCAGGACGTCAGCCCTACCTGTCTGATTCCGGGTCTGTGTTCTTAACTGTTTTGCCTGTTCACTAAAGGGAAGGAGGCTTGAGAACTGAACCTTATGTCTCAGTCTTGACTTTGCATTCTCTCTGCAGGCCATTTCATTTGCCCACCGGTCCCTTCATCTGCAAACAGAACCTGGCGACTGAACGCTACTTCCCCAACCTCATTTCCCACACTCTGGGTCTAGTAGCTAAGATGCTTGGGGCTGGTTCGCTGCCCACTGGGCACTTTTTGTTTCTGGACCAAGGTAAAGGTATGCACTCTACCTGGGCTGCCCTCCCCTGGCCCCTTCCATCGACTCTGGCACATCCCTGGAGACCGGCTGCCATGTTACTAGTAAGACCCAGTGCCCTGCTGCCAGGTGGGGTCGGTGCCCTGCTCTGTGTCCCCACGGCAGCGGACAGAGCTCCGTGGTGACACTTCCTACACTGCACACTGCCCTGACCTGTCCACAAGCTCCTTAAGGCAGGACCGTGTCTTATGTCTTACTTTTGTCTTTGGATTTTCAGTGTCCAGCCCAGGGTCTACCCATGGCAGATCCTGAGTAAATGTTTGGATGAACAAAGATGCTCTTGAAAAAGAGGCTTCATCGTTGGCTGCTGAGCCCCCGGATGGGCTCTGGAACAGAGACATGGATGACGGATGAAGGATAGCCCACCACTGCCCAGCCCAGGTAGCTGTCAAAGTTCCCACCTACCCCGACTCCTCCCTCCTGTACCTCACCCCTCTCAGGAGGTGGCAAAAAAGCAATGCTCTGTGTCATTGACAGATGTTCCAGAAGAACCCAGTGTGCAGGGCAAGGTGCTGGGGGCAACCTGGCCTGTGTTTGTAGAGAGAATGCAATGGGTTATCTAAAATGCCACTTTCGTCTTGTGGACAAGGTTCATAAAGGAGAAGGTTTTCCATGAAGAGCACTTTGAACATAAATGAATGCGAAAATTGGCCATGGCCAACCATGGCTGATTCACCAGGG